CACAAACTCCCCTCACATCGTCCAGTTACCAAGTATTTCATTTGTCTGCAGCTGGAGTGAAGGTTCACCTCAAGGATGTGTTGTGAGCCCCCTACTGTTCAGCCTGTACACCCACGACTGCATTGCCAGACTCAGCAACAACCACATCCCCAACAGTGGTGGGACTCATCAGGGACAATAATGAGTCGGCATATAGGAGGGAGGTGGAGATGCTTACAGCATGGGCCAAATCACAGAACCTAATCCTAACGTTGACAAGACTAAGGAGATGGTGATTGATTTTAGGAGGGCTAGCAAACACCAGCACACACCGCTGTATATTGACGGAGCTGCTGTGGAGAGGGTAGGCAGTCTTAAGTTCCTGGGAGTACACTTAGCCAACAAACTGACCTAGCCGTCATCAAAAGAGACTCAGGAAAGCATGTCTCCCATCTGTACACCTCACTACCTTTTACCAGGGCGCCATTGAAACCATCCTGACTCATGGTCTCACTTCCTGGTTTGGAAGCTGTATGGCCCATGAAAAAGAACAGGGTCGTGAAGACAGCCAGCAAGATCATTGGTGCTCCACTCCCCTACCTAAGTGAGATCTACCAGCAACGCTGCATTTACAGAGCCATCTCCATCATTAAGGACTTATACCACCCATCTCATCACATCTTCTCCCTCCTGCCATCTGGGAGGACATAGAGAAGCATCAGCTGCAGATCAAGCAGGATGCTGAACATTTTTTTTCCACAAGCTGTGAGAATCACAAATGGACTGTTGCCACTTCCCATCCTGATCACATATCCCCCACAATGTACACACGCGCACACACACACCTACAGCCCCGTCACCTAGACAGTAAAGTAAACTTTAAAATTAAACAAAAGGACTACAGTATAGTATTGGCTGCTTAGAGTGTATTAAATTGTACTGATTGTTGGTTTTATTTGTATTTTTTATCTCTATTTTTAGGAATGTGTTTTTAGGTTATATTTTAACTGGGTTATTTATTTCTTATTGTCCTTTTAAATGTACTACAAAAGTAGCTGATGAGAAACAACTTTTCGTTTCTCTGCGTATTGAAATACCAGGTGAAATGACAAAGTTTATCTCATCCCTTTACCAGCACTCTTTAATTATAACCAAAGCTATGTGAAACCATTTAATCGCCATCGGTATAAATCATGCCGTCTAGGATACAGTGAGTTGCTGTTGAATGCATCTAATACTACAGGAATGTCTAAAACGAGGACCTGCAAGTTTGAGATTTCATTTAAGCAACGTTATAACTACAACCAGAGCCGTTACGGCTCTGACTACAGCGTTTTACATCTATGTCACAAAAAGAGGAGCTACAGGAAGCCGTGAAAGATTCTTGTTCACCTCACGTTTATTTACATATCCGCTCTGGTTTAATCATTTCAGACATGCCGACTAACTGCAGACAGGCGGCTCACAGATATATTTAGAATACATCAACATCTACAGTTTAACGGCTTATTAATGTTAACGCTCCTCCACTGATACACACGGCGTTAGCTTTGTGGCTAATTTAGCAATGGGCAGCGTTAGCTGCTGTAACGTTACATGATTTTAGAGAATATTTAGAAGTGATGAACTAGGGACAAATGTGGACCGTTCGCTAGAACTGCCACACTGTTTGAAATAAATGTACAGTTTCGTCTGTCCAGCAGCATTTAACATTAAACTGCTGTGAGCTGGTAGGAAGCCAGGAGATGGTAGTGAAAAACGGGAGGGTTAGCAAGTCATGAATGTTTTCAGGAGAGGAGAATTGACTTGGTCTGTTTTTATTATAATTATTAAAGTCATGTAATTAACTTGACAAAACACCGACTCACCGCTCACACAGCCCTCTGCATATTTCTAAATGCTGCATGTAAGCTCCGGTAAACTCCGGTCAGCTTATTGTTTTCTTCTGTGGTTTTTGTGGTGAGGCAGTGTAGTTAACAGGGGAGCTGCAGCTGGTCGCCCTCTGGTGGGCAAACTATGCAACACCCATGACATAAGTGAAGGATCTGACACTAGGTTTCTTTTTTAATAATCATATATCTGCTGTTATAAATGGCAGATGCCAATTAAATGCAATTAGCTCATATCGGCCAATATATCGGTTGGGCTCTAGTCTTTAATAAATAGAATATTGTGGTGAATGTAATTCTGTTCAAAAAGTGAATCTTTGATATATTCTAAATAAAAATTGTCCTAGTAACATTACTTACAGCTTTGAGTAGCAGACGTGGAGGCATCAGATCCTCAACTAAAATATATATATATAAGAAGTACCTTTCTCTCTCAGGTGTCCTATTACATACGATAATCTCACACAGCCCTTCCAACAGCCGCAACGTTACTCAATATAGTGGTGTGCGATATGCAACTCTATCTATCCTTCCCGCCAGACGACCCCACCGTCTCGGCACGGATCACTCGCTGTCTCTCGGACATATCTGCATGGATGAAGGCTTCCCATCTTCAACTAAACCTCTCTAAGACTGAACTCATTCCAGCCAAGCAATCTATCCACCATAACATCAAACTACAAATTGTCTCCTCAACCATCACTCCAACCAGGGTGGTGAGAAACATGTGTGTCATGACTGATGACCAGATCTCCTTTTCAGACCATGTTGCTGATGTCTCTCGGTCGTGCCGCTTTGCTCTATACAACATCAGAAAAATCAGGCCCTACCTCACTCAATATGCCACCCAGCTTCTGGTACAGGCCATGGTTAAATCTCGCCTTGACTATTGCTATGCCCTCCTAGCAGGTCTTCCAGCTTGTGTGGTGAAACCCCTACAAATGGTTTAGAACGCAGCAGCGCGTCTGGGTTTTTGATCAGCCCAAAAGGACGCATGTCACTCCATTGCTGTGTGACCTCCACTGGCTACCCATGGCCTCCAGAATCAGATTCAAGTCACTAATGCTTGCACACAGAGTGACTACTGGGTCTGCACCCATCTACCTAAGCTCCATAATAAAAGTTTATGTTCCTTCTCGGCCACTACACTCCTCCAACGAACGCCGCCTGGCTCTGCCATCCCTTCACAGAAAGCAATCCCAGTCCCGGCTGTGACACCACAATGGTGGAACAAGCTACCACATGCCATCAGAGCAGAGGCGTCCCTCTCTAATTTCAAGAAGCTCTTGAAAACTCATCTCTTCCGAGAACACTTCCTCTTATAACACCTCTAACTCCTAACATCTAACATGTACTTCCTGTGCTCGTCTTCTTCTATCGCCTACAATTATCTTGTATTGATTGGACTTTTTATTAACTCTAACTTCTTTCCCTAAGTATTTACCCCATTGATGCGATATGTGCCATTAGTGCTTACTAGTATTTATTGCTGCTTTAATTAATATGTATTGTCAGTTGTAGATCTCGTGCTGTATTTTATGCTCTATTAATGTATGTATGTTGTTCCTCAAATATAAGTCGCTTTGGATAAAAGCGTCTGCCAAATGAGTAAATGTAAATGTAAATTAGTTATGAAAAAGACTTCACTTTAGAATGAAGAACATATTATGAGTTAGAAAGACTTGATATAGAGTTATTTGGACACTTAACACATCATTTTGTGTTTTCTTACATAAGAAAGGCCTTATTTGTAAGTGTACTACAAATTATTATTATATTTAGTTTAGATAATAATTTTCATAAAAATTATTCATTTCATTTTTAATCATGCATGCTGGAGTGTGAGTGTTACTCCATACTACCTAAGAGGGGACTTGTGTCATTATGTAGCAACAGTGGATTCCTGTCATTTACACTGAACAAAATTATAAACACAACACTTTAGTTTTTTCCCCCATTCATCATGAGCTGAACTCAAAGATCTAAACTTTCCCTATGTACACAAAAGGCCTGTTTCTCTCAAATATTGTTCATAAATGTGTCAACATCTGTGTTAGTGAGCACTTCTCCTTTGCCAAGATAGTCCATCCACCTCTCGAAAATATGCCGTTCCATCACACACCACACAGGTGTACCTTAGGCTGGCCTTTCATTGTATTGCCTTTTTATTGTCTATAGAGCACCCGGTATCTATATGTTAGGTCTCACCACGTGAAGTGTGAAACACACTGCAGAAATTAAAGCTGCAAGCAGCATTGGGCGGGCCCTAGCACATGTAGTGTGTTGAGGTGTGAAGCTGCCACGTTGCAGATTCTGTAGCTCTGCCGGTGCGGCTGTGAATTTGTGTCGCGCTTCGGACGCTGCACGAAGGTCTTATAATATTGTCACTTCCCGTGTCCCCTTCGTGGTGCTGCAAACCACTTGGCGCTACAATTACAGATGAATATTGGCGTGTAGATGTGTTCAGGGCGGGAAAATTATCAAGCATGAAAAGTTTGGTACAGATTTGAGCATGTATAGTTACGTTACGACGGCTTCCTATTTCACGGCAAAGCATGGAACTTCGCTGCCCCTCCACGGATGATTTAATTGAAGGAAACACAGTTTTGAAGTTGATATGTCCAAGCTGCTAGGAGTAGTACATTACAACATAAAACTATGACTTTGAGTGAACATTGGCATGTGGATGTGTTCAGGGCGGGACTCTTATAATGCTTCCCAAATCTGGTGCAGATGTAAGCATGTAGACTGAAGTTACAACAACATCCTTTTTTTGGACGCCAACGTCACGGGTGTTTTCCACGAAAAAACTTGAACAACTTTTAATCTGCACAGCAAAAATCTGAAGTCAGTTGGACTAAATCCCTAGGAGGAGTTTGTTAAAGTGTGTAAATCATCCCAAAATTAGCATAAAATTCAAAATGGACAACTTTCTGTTGGGTTTAGGGCATTGCTCCAATAGGCTCTTTGGTACGTCTGGACATGATACATGTGCCACAGAAATTTCATACATGTAGGTGAAACGTACCACGGGGGCCGCTTCGTAAAAGGTCACTTTCTGTTGCCAGCAGGTGGCGCCACTGTTTTGTTTTTGTATAACGAAAATATTTTGAAGTTTTCTTCCTCCCCTAGGTGGCCATCCTCCTGTATTTTGCTGACCTCATCATCCGTGTGATGTGGAGATGGAGTCTAGACCCCGACAACTTTTCTATCCCCTACCTGACTGCCCTGGGGGACCTGCTAGGCACTGGATTTCTGGCCCTCTGCTTCCGTTGCATCAACTCTGTGTAAATGTAACAAGAGAGAATTTTTCTAGTTCAGAGACCCACGCCCCCAACGAGAAAATTTCTCTTTTATTAGTACATAGAGATGCTCTTGATTGAAAGATTATTTAGATGCTTTAGGAATAATCAGATTGTATTGGCAGCCTGTGCTACCCCAAAGCAAGCAGTGTGCAAATATATTCCTACATCTCCATAATAAAAGGCACAGGCAACAATAGTTGGCTGAAAAGGAAAATATTTGTATTAAACAGAAATAGCTAAATTACAGATAATAAACAAGCAAAGCAAATTGCATTCTGTAGAAATAACAATGTTGCACAGCTGTTTCAGGGCACCTCCAGGATTCTCAAAGTTAAATTTCGGACTTTTTAAGACCTTTTTAATACCACCTAGGATGAAATTAAATAGCAACTTCACTGCCGTTTAATGGAAAATCTGTATAAATCATAAGCCAGATAAAATTGTTTATGAAGTTATATGAAGTTAATAAAACATTTTATTATATACATTCATATTTAACACACTATAGCTTGTGGTGTGTTTGTACTTTGGTAAGTTGCATTGCATGTTTTGTTATTGTGCAAATAAACCTTTCTCAAAGTATTTTCATTTGTTTTTCTTTAACATTTCTTGTTGCAAGCCATTTTTCAGAACATATTTAACAAATGCTTTAAAAAAACCGATTGAGTCATGTCCCCAGTATCCACAGTGTAAATGACACATATGAAATTAATACAATATTTGTGCACTAAGAACTCTTAAGGGGTGAAATCAAAAATGCAAACAAACTGTGTGGTATGAGTGGTTACAATTTGTTGTGCACCTTGGCTAGATATGGTAATGAAATATAATATGCCAATTGCTTCAGTCATTATTCATCCTGTTCTGTTTTTCTAAAGCATCTAAAGGCTGCATGAAATATAGTATTATATAGTATTGGCTTGAAAGTAGTGGGAAAAGGAGTTGGGCTCTGGTTTGTTTTTCCCTCATTCCTGTGATCTGGGTGATTTTTAATGTGCGTTAGTTTCATGTTTCCATTCACATAATGTTAGCTTACAACAGGGGCACAATGCACACAGACATGGTCCTCGTCTCATACACACCTGTCTCTCCATTGTTGTTGTAGTATCATTCACTGACCAGTAACCTGCAGTGGGTCTTCCAGCTCCGCTGTACTGCCATAGTGTGACTGGCTCGCACGCCGATCAGCTTGTTGTGCTAACCTCAGCGCCACTGCCCTCAGCCTCGTCCGCCAAGACATATCCACATGCACACAGAACACACCCTTTTCCATGTTTGAACAAAGGGGACTTGCTGGGATTTTAGTGATTACATCACCGTTCAGTCTGTCATTTTCACAATACTGTTCCACAGCAAAATGAAGAGCAGATCTCTTCTTAGACCTGTGGTAGATCAATTTATAATGGTATGAAGGAAATCTTGCATTCATGGAGTGGAGTCATGGACTATTCTACACAAAGGGGAAAGGAGACATACTTTTTCATGTATGACATCTTCTGCATTATAGTTCCTCCAGCTTTCCAACTTTTGTGGACCTTGGCACTGTATTTGCTGGAGTCAGGATTAATCCTGACCAGGAACCTAGTAGAAGTGAAAATAGAAGTTAATATTAATAATCACCTGGCCAGTTTAATATGCCAAATGTGCTGAACAGAAGACCAACATGTGATATTTTGATAAGGTGTTAGTATTGCAATCTATCTTAAGGCCCTGATCAGATAGAATGCGTTTTTTAATTGCTTTCAATTGACAGTAAGCATTTTGCAGGCTGTTTTTGAAGGAGTGCTATGAGCGCAAGAAGTGGAAAAAATTTCAACTCTGAGCAGAAATGCGCCCGACCTCATTCGCATTTTTACCATTGTCCGCTCAAATGAATGGAGAGTGTTGACGGAAGTGGAATGTTGCTTGGATTGTCAGGACACTTTCTGAGGGTCTCATGTACCCACACAGATCTCCCTTTCCCTGTCTCCTGCGTGTTTGTACACCTCTGTACGGGGCAGCTGTGGCTCAGGAGGTAGAGCGGGTTGGCAGTTAATTGGAAGGTCGGCGGTTCAATCCCTGGTTGCGTGTCAAAGTGTCCTTGGGCAAGATACTGAACCCCGAATTGCCCCTGGAGGCTGTTCTGCCTGTGTATGAATGAGTGTGAATGTTAGTTTCCGTTTGAGCACTTAGGCTCAGTGTATGACTGGTGCAGGATGTAGTGTAAAAGTGCTTTGAGTGGTCAAAAAGACTAGAAAGGTGCTATACAGAGCATTTAAATTTACTCTCACCTTCAAACAATGTCAGAGCAAGCGCCCTCCGTTTGTCTATTTTATTAAAGCAGATGTTTTTAGCAACAAAAGACACAGACCTGTGAGTTGTGACAGCCACCTAACAGCAAATCAAAGATTAATCTTTGATTACACTGACAGGACAGCTGATTTGGTGGTGCGTAGCAACATAAAAAAAACGCAGCGCACTTTCTGTCTGATCAGGCCATAAGGAGTTCATTCTGCAACTTTTATTTTCACTAATACCTACTAAGGCCTAATAACATTCTGTAAATATTTGGTTACTGTTTATTTAATGAACTGACTAACGTTAAGTTGGTTATTAAAGAAAAAGCATTGTGTTTATTAAACACTTGCACTGCACACTGTGCAGTGCTGCTCCACTTCTCCTTCACGTAGCAAAAATGGCCTCGTCTTCCTCCAGCAATATTTCTCTATGGATCTCGACTGTTGCGCCACCATAAAATCACTCCGTTGCACAGCTCTGAATTTGAAAGCCGCCCAAGAAGACTGCGTTCACAACCATCATTATCCACCACAGCTATTTCACCTGTGAACTAAAACAATATGGCACTTCTAGTGAAAGGTCCTCTCATTTCTCCCTAATTCATTACTTCTAAATATTTTTTAACAACAGCTAAAACATGCCACAAAGGCAATGCCATGTTTATCAGTGGAGGAGGGCTAACATTGTTAATAGCAGTTAAACAATATTGTTTAATATATTCTAAATACATCTGAAAGTTGATTGTCTCTAGTTGCAGTTGGTGTATCAGCAATGATTAAAGTAAATAGTACATGTAAATACACGTTAGGCTTCCTGCCTTAAAAAATTCTCTAACATTACCTCTTCTTTCGAATGTGAAGTTCGTGTGAAATCTCAATGTTGTAGGTCCTCCATGTGGACAGTCATGTAGTATTAGATTAATTCAACAGCAGTGTTTCCTCTGGGTCACTGTATCATAGAAAGCATGTTTTAGAGCCAGGTAAGCAGGAAATGACACGGATTTGAAAGCTAAAGGACAAATCGGGTGATATGTTTTCTGTTTTAATGCACTAAAGGACAGTGAACAGATTTCTCCTCTACCTCTTACACGAATCTTACACGAATACCAAAATAAAAAGAAGCAACACGAGAAGCATCTCAATAATGCAGCAAAAATACATTAAGCCAAAGTTTCTACGGTATGTAAAATATGTTGCCCTGGTTACCTGCATAACCTGGCGGTAAGCGTGTTGACTCATTTCTGCTTCCGGGGCTTGTGTGTTGGTAGCGTGTTGTGCTGCTCCTGCTAAATACCAGATAAATTTGTTAGATTTGTCATTACAGCGGCCAACTGTCCGCTAAACACTTATTCTTACAATAATTATGCCTAAGCGCTCACAGTTCTTTCCATCTTTTAGTGACTGCTGTTTAATCTCATAGTTGTTTTCAAAAGTTTTGGTAGCCAGCACTACCGTACTTTAGCTTAGCCGTTAGCGACTTTAGCGTAGCAGCTAGCGATGGCTTATCATCCCTCTCGCTGTCCTACTTTCTCCTGCTCGGTGTGTCACATGTTTAGTTATTCCTCTGCCTCCTTTAGCAGTAATGATACATGTAACAAGTGTAGTTTATTTGTAGCCATTTCCGGGTAGTCGGTGCGGAATGGCCTGAGTTAGCCTGTGGTAGCTGTCCCCCGGCATCTCCTGAGAAGCCAGGAAAGGTAGTGTGTAGTGTACCGAGCACCTGGTCTGTACTCTGAATTCTTATCTGAATTTGCAGAATTTTTGTCAACTTTAGTACTTAAAATGGACAAAGTTATTATTGTAGGGAATTTTAATATCCATGTGGATGTTGAGAATGATAGCTGATGATACTGCGTTTATCTTTCTTTTAGATTCCATTGGCTTTTCTCAGAGTGTTCATGAACCGACTCACTATTTTAATCACACCCTCAACCATGTTCTGGTTTATGGTATTGAAATTGAACATTTAATAGTGTTCCCACAAAACCATTGTTTGATAACTTTTGAGTTTGTATTGGTTAACTACAGATGTCTGTCTGATAGTGCTGTAGCTAAATTTAAGGATGTGATTCCATCAGCTCTAAATTCATTATCAAGTGTCAAAGTAATGGAGGATTTAATTTCTTGTTGATAGTGCTGCAGGCTCGCTGTAAATGACTCTGTTGCCCCTCTAAAAAGAAAATAATAAAACAAAGACGGTTAGCTCCATGTTATAATACTGAAACTCACAAATTAAAGCAAATATCACGGAAACTTAAGGAACAACAAAAACAAAAAGGAACAACCCTAGGTTTCTTTTCAGCACTGTAGCCAGCTGACATAGAGTCACAGCTCTATTGAGCCAAGTATTCCCATAGCTCTTAGTAGTAACGATTTCATAAGCTTCTTTAATGATAAAATCTAACTAAAAAATTGTTCCTGCCCTCCTACCTTAGAAACAGCTGTAAAACCAGATATATACTGCTTTGCTTCCCGCAATCTTTACCAACTAACTTCAATAATTTCTTCATCTAAACCATCAACCTGCCTCTTAGACCCCATCCCGACTAGGCTGCTTAAAGAAGTTTTACCCTTAGTCAGCACTTCTCTGCTAGATATGATCAATCTATCTTTATCAACAGGCTATGTACCACAGTACTTTAAAGTAGCTGTAATTTAACCTCTTCTGAAAAAGCCCAGCCTTGCTAACTATAGACCTATATCTAACCTTCTATTTCTCTCTAAGATCCATGAGAAAGCAGTTGCCAAACAGCTGTGTGACTTTCTACATAGCAATAGTTTATTTGAGGATTTTCAGTCAGGATTTAGCACAGAGACAGGACTGGTGAAAATTACTAATGACCTCCTAATTGCATCAGATAAAGGACTTTTCTCTGTACTGGTTTTATTAGATCTTAGTGCTGCTTTATTACAGAGATAATATTACAGAAATTGGAAGATTTCATTAGCATTAAAAGGAACTGCTCTAAGCTGGTCCTATTTATCAGATCTATTTCAGTACAAGTTAACGATGAGTCCTCCATGCACGCCAAAGTTAGTCATGGAGTTCCACAAGGATCTGTGCTTGGACCAATCCTGTTCACTTTATATATGCTTCCTTTAGGCAATATTATCAGGAAACATTTTTTGTTTCCATTTATAGCTAAACTTCAAATGTGTCTTCAGGATGTTAAAACCTGGATGACCTGTAATTTTCTAATGTTCAACTCTATCTATCTAGGAGATAGGAGGAATCTAGGAGATATCTTTGATCAGGACATGTCGTTTAAGTCTCACATTAAGCAAATTTCAAGGACCGAATTTTTTCATCTACGTAATATTGCAAAAACATCCTGTCTAAAAATGATGCAGAAAAACTAGTCCATGCACTTTTTACTTCTAGGCTGGATTACTGCAATTCCTTATTATCAGGCTGCTAAAAAACGTCCATTAAGACTCTTAATGTTCTGACAGGAACCAGGAAAAGAGATCACATTTCTCCTGTCTTAGCTTCTCTGCATTGGCTTCCTGTAAAATCCATAATAGAATTTAAAATCATTCTTCCCACCTACAAAGCTCTTAATGGTCAGGCACGATCTTATCTTAAGGAGCTCATAGTACCTTACTATCCCACCAGAGCACTGCGCTCCCAGAATGCAGGGTTACTTGTGGTTCCCAGAGTCTCCAAAAGTAGAATGGGAGCCAGAACGTTCAGCTATCAAGCTCCTCTCCTGTGGAACCAGGTTCCAGTTTGGGTTCAGGAGGCAGATGTCCTGTAAAAATAGGGCCAGATAAGAAAGCTTGAACTTTTACCAACATTTTTATTATCAACAAAAACACACACCAATTAGAATACAAAAGTTCCACCGAAGTGTGTCAAGATTGGTGCAAAATAGAGCCCCATTCTGTTACCAGAACAGAGACCCGAGTCGACATGAAAACCATGTAACGACTGACTTTCACCTCCTTTTGGACCTCCTTTTATAGCTCTGATTCTTGTCTTCACATCATCTCTTGGCTCTCTTTCCTACTGCACCTAAATCTGGGAAAGTCCCTGACTGCCTGCTCCTCCTCTCTGTGTCCTTTGCATGCCCTCCGCTTGATCATGCCATTTCTTCCATAACCTGACTTTTGTGGAATAAACTGGTGTTTGTGCTCCATGCTAGAGACAGGACATTCTTACTGTGATGGACTATATTAATGTATGTTTTGTAATACAATTTGCGCAAATTCTGCTTCTACATTTTCCTTTTCAGGTGTTTTTAATGCTGTGTTGCTATCTCACTGTGCTCCCTGCCTTTGCTCCCAAAGCACACAAGCTTGCACACACACACACACACACACACGTGCTACTGCTGAGCCCGGGCAGTTAGATACAGAAAGGAGCACACACACTCAGAACTATAGGGTTTTAACACTGTGATCCTAACTTTAAACTATAAAATAACACTTTAAATGATGACAATGTAGACCACCATTGCTCTAGTAATTAATGATAACACTTTAGGCTATAATGCTCCAAAATAATTCACAACAGCCCCCTCCTCTGAGGCTGTAAAGCCTCACACTTTATACATCAACACTGTGACCACTAAAAATAGGCGGCCTATTGTATTTGCAGATCTGAAACCTATTCCTCAGACTTGCATACCTTCAAGAAAATACCCAAGTTAGTGTTTACATGTTGTGAAATAATCAATAATCATGCGGTGGGCAGTTTCTGTTGCTAACACGTTTGAGCAAGTTATAATGACAAGGATTTCCATTACTCATCCTTATTACGCTTCAATGAGTTTCCCTTTAAATGAGCTTAACATATTAAACTAACTATACGTGCTATAATATAGTGAGATATACATTGTAAATGGTTTACACTCGTGAAACAAATAATATCTTATGCAGTGAGCTGTTCTTTCGATATATACTTTAGCAAGCTAACCATTATAACAACACCTAATGTGTTGAAAGGCACACATCATGTATCAAAACAATAACAGGGTGCATAGTGAACTTTCTGTGTAACAATATAGTAACCAGACATAACAGTGTTTTGACAATCATTCATGTGACACTTCAGAATGGTGCAAAATGTCCGATAAACATGTATGATGTCCATTTTGAAAGTTTAGTCCGTGGTACTGTGGAACTTATTTTGGCACTCAGGTTTCTAGGAGAACAGATTGGGTACCAATTTCAGGGCGCTCAGTCGTTTGTAGTTTCTGTCTTGTTCTTCCCTTTGCTGGTTCACTTGGACTCATAGCTGGTGATTGTCAAAGTTGTCTCTGTGGTGGTGCAGGTCATGCTTGATCTTGCCTGCTGCTGCGTCTGCCTCACGAGGCCTCATAGGAGAGTGGCCTCCTCTGGTATTTGACTGGCTGTCAAGAAGTATTTACCTTGCTTGCAACTGTATCTTACTATTACCAATAAGTGAGCTTTATCCTACTGTTTGTAGTTTGGAGACTTAACTATTGTCTATATCTGTGAGGAAAATATCAATCTTTTTCAACATGATTTTTCTTCCTAGATATTATATTTGCTTGCAATTTAACCATTCTAACCCTTCTAACCTCCTGTATATCTGTGTATTGAATTACATTGCTATTGGACGTTCAAATAGCAAATCTTAAAAATAACACTCAACTGCACTAAAATTCTTCCATACTTCAAACTAGTTTACTAATACTACCTACAAAAACAGAAAGAAAACATAAATTAACACAGGTGTTCAGCATCACACACGTGTCTCAGGTTATCATTACAGATGCTTGGTTGTTCCTGTGGAATACATGACAAAGGTCAATCATGATTTAATACTCACAATCATCAAATTTAAACATGCAGTAGCAATTTGCTGCTGAAATTGCTTTATAAAGCAAGAGTTTCTTCTCCTTTCGGCCTCTTTAAAATCAAGCCTGAAAGGTTGCCTGTCATTGTATCCGCTACGCCAGAGCAGAGCAC